GGGGGAGAAGAGAAAAAGGGGGAGGGGAAAAAAAAAAAAAAGAGGGGGGGGGGGGGGGGGGGGGGGGGGGGGGAACCCAAAAACGTAAAATTGTAATAAAATAAAACGTAAAAACCTCTTAGCAGCAGGCTGTAGTGGCTCCAAGCAGATGGCTTTCGCAGAAAGTAGTTAAAAAACAACAACAACAAAAAACGAATAAGGCAGCTCTCCAAGAGCCGCGATTCCCCTCCGTCACTTTTATGGTGACAAATTACACCACAAAGACAAGTGGAAGAGAAGGAAATATTGCTCTCGCGTTGGTCATATTGCTGCTACACGGAAATATACAACAAGCCATACATAGACTGCTTCTGCTTCTCTGGCCTTGTGAGCGCACTGGGAAGGCGCGCGCGCGTGTGTGTGGTACTTATTAGAAATTGAATAAGGATATCACCATCAAGCATTCATAACATAAATCAATAAAGATGTATGGACTTACCGAAGGCAGCTCAGGGTGTTTCCGAGACCGGGCCTGAAGTTACTCGGCCGGATTTCTGCAACGACAAAAGGATTTCCCCCCCTTTTCTTTAGTAACTTAAGTCATAACTTTACATTTTCTTCAACGGGCTTCTGTGAGTTTTATTTTCTTCTCTCTTTTTTTAGACTAATTCAGAAATGTTCTCACATTTAAAATACATTAATGTGGATTTTGATGTTATTTATTTATATTTAAAGCATAGATGTGAAAGACGGGGTTTATGTTTTATTATTCGTTTATGTTTGAGCACATAATTCAGCGTAACTCTTTCGTTAGAACAGCGAAATGGGTAGTCATGTTTTGTCTGTTAGTCGGGAGCAAAATTCAAACTTTTTTTCTTAAAATAGGTTAACGTCGGATTCGGTTTGACAAATTCCATAAAATGTTAAATAAACAACAACAACAAAAAAAGTTTAAATATAAAGAGGAACTGATGAATCCCAAATTAGGCCTACAATCTTAGGTTTGGGGGTGGGGGGGTAAACGATTTAACATATGCTTGGATGAATATTATTATAATATTATGCAAAAAGAAAAAAAAATGTTTTGATTTCATTTTTGAGTAACTCTATTAGAAAAGGTTGCAAAAATCAGAAGCCTATAATTCTCATGAAATATACACACACACACGAACTCCTTCAGATAACGGATGTATGAAAGCCCAGGCCATGAAACTCTTCTTTATAAAACTCTGATCAATTCTGCGCATAGCTACGAAAACACATATAGGAAAATAATAATAATAATAATAATAATAATAATAATAATAATAATAATAATAATAATAATCGTCATGTATGCAAATAACGTGTTTGTTGCATCTCCTCTCGCAAACAGATCGAACAGTCATTAGCTGGCGCTCACCACCTTCCCAAAGTCCCTGCGCCCATAAATCAAAGCCGGAGCGCCGTGACCTCAGCGCGGCCGCGGCGGTCCTCGATGGCACTCCGTCTTCCATTATATCCTCATTTCCCCACGGCGGAGCGACACAACAACTACCCCGACTGATCCCCACCAGCTACTTCTTTTTTTTTCTTAAATCTTCTTCGTCTTTCCTCTCTCTCTCTCTCGCTCTCTTTTTTTTATGGAGATCGTCTTGATGCATCGTTTACGCACGGGCGCGGAACATAAACCAGCTTAAAGAGATGGGGCTGTTTAAGTTTTATGGGACAGGTTGACACCCTGAACCGCCGGCGCGCTCTTCTGTCTGGGTGTTTGCTGGAAGTCGGGATAAATGGAGGCTTTATTTACTCACACTGGCTTATTTGTCCAACAAAAAAAGGCTTCTTCTGTTATTTATTGTGCTGTTACGGTGTAATTGTTCCACTGGAATTAATTGTGCATTTTTGATATTATAAAGAACGCAAAAAATAGGTTATTTGGACAAAAAATATGACATTTATTTAGGTTAACTTATGTTATGCATACTGACAGCTTCTTAAAATTTCTTGCGCTGCAAAAAATAAAAATAAATAACAAGGAGCCCCCTCCCCACACCCCCTTCACTGACTGACCTCTGTCTGGCATAGCAATAACTCACGACAGTAATGAACAATCGGCGGAAATACCTCAAAATAAAATCCATCCTCCCAAAGCTGGGGCTCTGACTCCGTCCGCGTGGAAAAAAACACATATCCGTCCGTGTATAACAGAATACATCCACAAAAGCCAGAGATCCTTCTCTCCTCTTCTCGTTTGCTCAAATCGGCTTTTTTTTTTCTTTTCCGGAAATTAAAAAAAAAAAAAAAAAAAAAAAAAAGATAGAAAGAAAAAAAAACTACAAAGCCAGGACTCCCCTCCCGAAAAGTGGGGGTAACCAGCATATAATCTGCATCATATGGCCAGACCGGGGCTCCGGTTCTCTTCCCAGTGCCATAACACCGCGCGGTATTATGCGCCCTGCTCACGTGACGCAACGTCAACTTAAATCCCCTTTTATTTGAGCCCGTGAATCATTAATGGAGGCAGTCATTGCCCCTGAGGAGAAACGGATCGGGCTTGTAGAAAGAGGGGGGGAGAAAGAAGAAGAGGTAGAAGAAAAAAAAGAGAGGGGCTGTTTGATAGTGCAATGTATCTGGCTGAGGAGCGAGCCTCTCACTGAGAAGCAGCTTTTCCACGTGTCGCCCCATTCAGAGGGGAGAAATGGGGCTTTTTTTCTGACACTTTTAGAGCGCCATATATTTCGTGCCTGTTAGCGGCCGAAAGAGCAGCAGAGATTCGAGCACATTTTGCACGGCGGAAAGCTGTCCGAGCGCAACAAAACAAAACGCGCTTTTAGCTTCCTCTTCATTCTACCACCGCCTCGCTTTGCAGGGGTGTATTCCACGGCGCTCAACTCAACACCGCCCCCCCTGTTCTCATCGCGACACTTGTACATTAGTATATACCACTTTGTCAGCCTCTGAGCCCCCCTCAATCAGCGCGGCGCACACGCTGCAGGGGTAAATAGAAACCAAACGTTGCCACATTTACCTGTCACACACGGAGAGGCTGTGCGTCCCGGTGGTCGTGAGGGGCGCCTGTCAGTCAGCGGTGGGCGGAAAGGAAAGGTGAGGTGACCAAAGAGAGGCTGCTCGACCCTGCTGGTCAGTACATGGATCCCCATTAAACTAACATGGATCAACTCACTCAAGTTTGTGCGTAAAAACGTTTTAGAGATGAATAAATAAATCAAAGAAAGCTTTTTTTTTCTTTTCTTTTTTTTTTTTTAAAGAGGGGGGTTCACGCACACAGAGCGTATGTGGCCAAAAGCTCATAGCCCGGAAGAGATTCTCTCCTCTCGGCGCCGTTTGGCGCTTGTTTTCCGTCAACACCGAGCAGCGGGCGTGGAAAAATCCCCACCACAACTATTAATCACTCGAGTCGGACAGAGGCTCCGTCCCACTCCCTGCATTGAGGCTTTTGTCCTCTCCGACTCCAACTCTAATGGCAAACTTTCAAGTCAAGAGCAGAGTCAGATGCGGTTTTCTTCACTTTTAGTACAAAAAGAAAATCTATTCGCAGCGAACGTGGACGCGTGTTTGTGAGAGCGACGAAAAGTTTCATGATGTGATTTAGGACCAAAATTTTCACGTGTGTCTTTTTACAGACCCTGACTGATGCAAAGGCTTGTGAAACTGAATGACCGTGCCCTGCAGGATAATCCCACCCTACCTGTCGCCACCACACCTGAACTTTCCCCTGACCCGTGTCGAGTTGAGTGGCAAGACAGACATCCAAGCATCGACTTTGGTAGCATTTAAAAACTCCTCTTTAATTTCTTAATTCAACAAACATTCTAGCTCATTGCCATTTCCTGAGACTCTTTAATTGATCACGTTTTTTTTTTTTTAAATCAAAATAACACAAATGTTCCCAGATGTATTTCCACAAATCAAGCCTCCTTATCTCTGTCAGCACGGAGAGGAGCTGCAGGCGCAGAGACCCCCTGGATGTCGGCCAGACGACTGGCCATATCTTCCCACAATGTTGACACTCGGAGCTCTTAACAGCCAGGCTTGGGTTACCGAGCCTCTCAGCCGAAGATAACTGCTGCACTGAGGTTTACATCGGCCAACATCAAGACTAATGCGAAATTCAACGCCTCGAGCTGAGTGGAGCCATCTCTAATTAACCCCAGACAAACAGTGCGACCAACGAAGACAGAAGAAGTGTTTGCTTGGATGTGGTTGTAATAAAGAAAGTTGGATTTTCTTGTAAGAAGTAGCTCTTTATTATTCCAGAAAAATGTGTTAGTCACCGTTCTTTTGAGCAGAAGCTCTCAGATGTAAGTTGTTATAATAATAATAATAATAATAATAATAATAATAATAATAATAATAATAATAATAATAATAATAATAATTGACTCAGTTTAATTGACTCAGTTTAGTTGTTATCTTTGCAGTTGCTTTGCAATTTCCTAATTGCATTGTTATACACCATCACAGTCAGAGAGAATAAGATGAGATGATTAGAGACAAAATCATTATTATTATTTTTTTTAATTTCGAAAACAACATAGAAACTGTGGCATGAGTTTTGGGTTTAGTCTCAGTTAAAGACTATATATATATACATTTTTAATTCTCTATACCACCATAAAACAAAACCCACATTTTCACAGCTTGTGTTCACCCAAACTGTGAAATAGATAAATAAATACCTGCATGAATGAATAACAACAAAAGGTCACGTAGCAAGAATGTTTTCCAGCGCTATCATCCCTTCAGATTAATATTCCTTCGCGATTTGCATGTATGCAAACAGTGGATACATGGATGCATGCTTGTCAGCATTCACCACAAAAAAACACATACTATGAGGAATAATAATAATAGTGTAATATTACAAAACGTAAACATTTTATTGAGCATAATTTAAGAACTTTGAGCAACAGTCAGATTGAAATAAGAGCCACACCTGGATCTATTTGATCACCTCCGCAACTTACTCACCAGTTTTTGGGATATTTTACGCATTAAAAAAAAAACCCTCAAAAAACAAACAAAAAAAAACGCTAGAATAAAACTACACCAATTCTACTTACAAGTCATGATGATTCTGCCTCCTGAAGTTCTGTCAGAGAAGAGATCTGACTCGCACCTTGCAGAGCATCACTTCAAATGAAATTAAGTCAGATTTTCAGATCTATTTCTGACCCCCCGGGGCATCCATTATTCAGCAAGTCACGTGAACAAGAGCAGATTAAAATTTCAGCACTCTGAAAGTGACCTCTATTCGAGAATCAAAGACTTGAAATGCGTAATTGAACTATATATTTGGACGTGTGCGTAAAGTACGTGCCAGTCAGGCCGAGCATCATTCTGCAAGCACACAGTCTAGGAGAGAACTTCTGCAGCAAAAAAGTATTAATATTCTCCAGATTTGTTTTCTCTCTCTCTCTCTCTCTCTTTCTCTCTCTTTCTCTCTCTCTCTCTCTCTCTCTCTCTCTCTTTTTTTTCTCTCTCTCTTTGTCTTTCTCTCTCTCAATAAATGTGGTTAGGAGAAAAAAATAAGCAGTTTGTTTGTGTCCGTTGTACGTTTAAATTAAACGGCAATTTACAATTTATGCTCTGTAAACCCATAACCAATAAACGTGCCGACGTATTTATGGGCTTTAAACCAACACATGCCAACACATACTCAAATTTATGCACCCCAACATGAAGAATCTCAGCATGTTTCTGCTCATGTGCGCCCTCTCCTCCGGGCCCTGCCAGCTCTCCCTCTGTGATAATCTGCACATGCACAAGCGATGTCTCTTGGAATAATTTTGGGAAAATTCATGGCTCAGTTTCACACTTAAACACGGTTATTGTTTGGCACGCCGTCTTTGGATAAATCTCAAATGGGCTGACGGAGGTCTCAGCGCTGATGTATGGTCTGAACATTGTGTGTGTCGAAAGGTCAGGGGTCAGAAGAAGTGCTCGGAGCCCGTGATTGGCCAGTGGCTGCCGCTGTCCCCTGGCTGAACTCTCTATTGTTTGGACGGGGCAGGTAGTGACCACCACTCACACTCTTGGTGTTGTAACGTCGACTGAGGTATCATTGGAGTGGCAAAGTTGGAACAATATGTGTGGCAGGATATGCGTAACAGTTCAGGTTTGGTGTTTTTACCAAACATTGTAAGTCCCAGGATATCTTTTCTAGTCTTTGTTTTAACCTTGGAAAAATATTTTTGCCCCATATTTAGCCAAAAATGAAAACGTTCAAAAATAACGCATGGATAGCTTTCTTGAACTACCCCGACCACATTTAAACCACATTTAAACGTCTATAAACACATTTGCTCTCACGTTTCAGCTTGAACTTTTCAACATCAACTTTTAGATGGAAGACAATTCTGGCATTTTCTGTTTCTATTTGATAAAAAAAATGAAAAAGAAAACTTGCTGTCAGCTAATACTGCGTGGACTCGGATCATGTGTTTCTGCCACATATCTTCCTAATCCAAGAATATCCGCATAACATGCCATGCACGTGCACGGATTTGAATCTGACACAAGCGAGCGATGAAAAACACAACAAGAAGATGCAAACACATGTCTGGACGAAAGTAACAAGACGGACATTAGCGTTCACACCACCAGCGGTTGCACTCCGAAAGGAAAAACAAAAACAAAAACAAAAAGCAAACAGCATTGCGCATTTATCTCCAAATTAAACCTCAATGCAAATGCCATGAACTGTTAGAAAATAAAACAATTATATAAATAGGATCGTGCAGGAATAGAGTCTTAACACACACAGCAAGGTTTTCAAAAGCGACGATTGGCAAATAATCTAATCAGTAAAGTTCATAATTTTGTTGAATAAATGTAGAAATGACAACATCAAATTGTGTGTTAATATCGTGAAACTATAGATGAAATGTAAAATAAATAAATAATAGTAATAATAAAAGTCTGTTGATGTCAAACTGTTGTTCCAAGGTGTGTGTAGTTTTTTTTTAAATTGGCTGACAAAGCCTGACGTTCTGCGTTTCTGTTTAGGCTCTATTTGGACCGGACATGCAAGACAAACAAACGTCAAATTTTTAACATTTTTTGGGGCATAACAGATGCCCACGGCATATCTTAATATTAATATTAAAATATTCCCACGGACGTCCAGTTCCTGGATAGATCGCAATATTTGAGCGTAGAATGAGGAAAAAATTAATATCTAAATTCCGTTTCCTAATGTCTATCTTTAATAATTAATAACGATTACTTAAAAAAAAAAAGGATATTTACGAGTTTGCGTAAAACCGCGCGTAAACGAAAGAACGGCTTTGAAAACAGGCTGTTGCGCTCAAGTGAAATCAATACTGGCGATGACAAAAACATCCACAACCGCGTCAAGCCTCGTAAGTGGAGCACATATTTTATTTCACAAGGACAGGTTTAACCTACACTATATAGCCTACATTACATTGGTCATTACTGAGACAGCACATACAAATATTCACAGTTTAGAACACAACACAGCATAAGGACGCACGGGAGCACAAATGAATCTATACGGACTCTGTGTACAACACCGACAGAACTTGACACGAACAAAAAAAAATCGCCCTTTTCCCTCATTGTGCCTTCATTAGGTAGGATTTGTCTATGTACATTTGATGTGAACGTCACCTGGACTATACATTCAACAGTAAGAACCAACCCAGTCAAACACACGAACTACACTGCTGCTCCTCTGACTGATGCCAACCCCCCTCCCCACCCCTCACCCTACCTAACACAGCCCCCTCCCCCCCACACACACACCTCACCACCCTAAATAAACAGGCATCTACAGAGTCTCCTAAATATCTTTCAAGTATATTAGAACTTTCCATGAGCAATGGTCATAAAAACAATAGTAATCGTAGAGAACATATAGAAAAAAATGACCACAAACTTACTTTTCACCTGACTCAGTTTTAACTGCAATGATACACACTTTGTGATCCAAGTCCTACATGTCTGAATGTGCATTGGATTTTTTTTTTCCTGTTTGTTTATTTTTTTTTCCTTCCTTCCTTCCTTCCTTCCGTCTTTTCCATCAGAAACCAAACACTTCAGTTGCCACCGTGGCAATTAAAGGTGATTTTTCAAGCTTATATGAAGAGGGGGTGGGGGGGGAGTGAGGACGAAATGGTGTACAAAGGACGTGGCACAGGCCCAATGTGCAAGCTTACAGATATATAACACCATGAGTGTAAAATACTGAAAATCGGTCCATCGAATTCCACATGTGTTGTTCGCCATCTCAGTCTGGATTATGTGGGGTCTGTTACTCTGGGCACTATAGACCAACTGTGCACGGCGTTGGGACAAGCTGCTGGCCTGTTTTGATCTGCTGCTGTTGGTGCTGCTGCTGCTGCTGCTGGGCCCCGGAGGCTGAGGAAGAGGCCGACCCGGATGATGAGCGGATCTTTGTGTTGGGAAGCTTGTGCTCCTTCTTCCACTTCATCCTACGGTTCTGGAACCAGATCTTGACCTGGCGCTCGGACAGGCACATGGTGTGCGCGATCTCCACCCGCCTGCGCCGGGTCAGGTAGCGGTTGAAGTGGAACTCCTTCTCCAGCTCTAGAGCCTGCTGGCGGGTGTAGGCAGTGCGGGACCTCTTGGGCACCCCTCCATTGTAACTGGCATTGACTGGGAGACGGGAAAGGGAGTTGGGGGGTGGGGGGAGTGGGAGGCAGGTGTTACATGCAGGTTTAAGAAGGCAATATTTGCTTTTTTTTTTTTTTTATGTGTGCCCATATTGCATAATTCGTGCACCACGTTTTCTGCAGCCGGTTTCTAAACTCTCTTCTCCTTAACGGAAGAGAATGTGTACAAGCACTCGCATCCAGGGACACATCAAAGCTTA